TGTAGGCTGCAGGTTTTTTTTATTTTCTCCCAGCCTAGAGGGTAAACTGTTTTCTCTTAGCTTGGGAACTTGGATATCCCTGAGAACAAGTCTAGGGGTAATGGGTATGCTTGCGTTCTTTATCTTCTGTCCCCTTCCCAGGACTTTCTCACAGAGGCTTAACGCACCTCCTGGTATCTCTGTGCTAGTTCTGTTGAGGTACGTTTAAACCAGCTTGCTTGGGAATGGAGAGCAGAATAATAATGGTCCTGTGGAGAAAGGTGCAGGCTGATAGGAAAGGGTGATTGTCAGGTGTATGTGAGAATGCCTTTTGGCGGTTACACTTTTTAACTTCTTCATTGTGACAAAAGCCTCCCTGTATTTCAAGCTCTCAAATGGCTGTATTGAGCAAAATGGAGGAAACTGGGCAGGCAGTTTGAATTAATTAGACATGTTGGAAATGTTTTCTCAAGACGCCAGAATTGTTGTTTTAGAGATATTTATGTTAGAAATTCCTTCCTTGACAGGTACAAATAAACGCTTATTGTATGTGATGGTAAAGAGAGATGCCCCTGCAAGCTCTGGCAGTTCATCCTGTACGTGGAGCAAAGGCGTGGGAGCCCAGAGTGCTGATTGTGATTCTTAGTTTTCAAAAACATTCATTTGTGAATACCCTGCAGTTATTCTGTCTTCTAAATACAGATAGGCTCTGTGGTGGTGTGGGTGTTTTTCCTATTTTGCAGATGGAGAAACTGAGGTACGTTGAAGTTAACAAGTTGGTGGAAAGCAGAGTGAAATGCTGTCTTTAATCTGTGTGTCCTCTTTTCAGGACATAATTTTTAATACTGTTTCTTACCAACACTGCACTGAAGCAGTATGGGACTATTACCTACTTATACGTAGGGCTCTGAAAAGCTCTGGCAAACTTTGCTGCTTCATTTTTAAGAATTTGCTGTCCCAGTAAAGCAACAGAGGGAATTGACAATGTACTTGGACTTAGAGAGACTGGACTTAATTCCCATAAGCTTTCAAAGCAAGTAGGTTCTGCGCTAGGGCATTGCTTTTGCAGACTGATGCAGCTGATGCGCAGTTAGGTGTTTGCTTCTGCTACAAGGGCAGTAACTTGCAGAAGGGGTACCCGATCTTGCAGCGGAATGGCAGCGCAGTCTGCCGCAGCTCCGGTGTTGTTACTTGGTGAGTCTCGGTTCAAGATGGTTACTGTAATTTCATTTAGTGAGAGTGAATTATGTAGCTCCACACGCTTACTGTGATAAAAGAAACGGACCAAAACAGGGTTATTTAATTTCCTAGCTCTAGTGTTTCTAACTGGATCATTATGTAGCTGCTGCTGGTGCCATGGGGCCTTCACAGATCAATTACTTCAGAAGCATCCGGGAGACAGTCCCAGCCCAGATCCCGCAAGCAAGCTTTTTCTGTGTGTCAGCCCTAAGTTTGTTTTATTAGGACTTAGCTAAGAAATATAGGTTGTCTTGTGCTGGTGCAGATTTTTGCAGGTATATCTTCAAAGCAAAACTAGTTCAGGAAGCATGTCCCCACTTCAGACCCTTGTTCTGCCAGATTGAACTGATGCTGTTATAGCTTAGGTGACACAGCAAGCAGCCAAGATAGTGTCTGTTTTATTTGTTTTTTCTCTTTTCAATTTGTCTATCAGTCTGTCCTAGCAAATGGGTACCTGCGCTAGAGTAACCACAACCTCAGGTTTTGTTTTATCTTATTTCAACTTAATTCGATGAGCGCATCACCACATATCAGTGATAAATATCCTGGAGTGTTTATTTTAGGAACTGCCTCCCCCTCGTCCCTGTATCTTTAAAAATAGGTTACCACACCTTCAGTCATGGAGTAAACCCATTCAAATGTGTTTTTAAACTGGGGGAGAATATTTCTCTTTTCGCCTTACTCGAGGAATCCATTTTATGTAGCAGCTCACACTAATGTTTATATAGCTTGTTTTGTTTTCATTTGAGGATGTTCAGAGGGGACTTCAGTGTTGTACTGAAATGTGGGAGATGTGGATGAACAGCTGACTGGAAACTCTAAGCAGTTGTATAGAATGAAAGCTGGTTTATTTTCCAAGTGCCAAGGATCAGTTTTGTTTTATTTAGATGAAACTAGATTATAGCATTGAAAACCCAAATACATTAGCATTCTTAAATAAAACAAGTTAGGAAGTAATATTACAGTTGAACTAAATGTTAATTATACAGATAGTCTTGTTGCATATTTTGTTAAGACTTCAGGAATTTTTTGTGATTAAAAAGACTAGTTTTTATTGTTAGGGGAAAATAGAGCAGTAAATGAGTTAGGAATGAAGATACTAAGTGTGGGTTTTCCTTCACTTGGCAGCATGATTAAATTGATTAAATATTTGCTTTCAAGCATTTAATCTCCATCTCTCAGGCACAGACATGCTACCTCTATCCCTCTGCTTAGTGCTTGTGTAAACCTCTGTTCAAACCTCTGTGGCTCATTACGTAGCGGGTAATGCTATGTAGGATGAGCATCCCTCTTTTGTTGAGGTCCTGCTTTTGTCCTGTTGTTCGTTTGACCTAGCCAGAAAGCAGGACTAATCTCTTGCTGAATATAAGATTACGATGAATTTGAGTATTGGGCTTTTCTAAGCTTGAGCACTTCCCTGTCATTGCTGATAATGATACACTGCTTCTGTCATGTTCTTTTTAAAAAAAACAAAAAAACAAAAAAACAAAAAAAACTGCACATGTGGAAAAGCATGGAGTCTCTCTTGCTTTTTCTTATTATTATTTGACTGTTTGGAAAAAGATCAAAAAATAAGATTTTTTTTAAAGGAAAATGGGATTTTTCCATTTGGATATTTCAAATTTTACTCTATGGCACATTCAGATAGTGATGATTTTCAAGAGATCTAGGATTAAAAAAAAAAAAGGCTGAATGACTTCAGTCATCTTTTTAGTCTCTCCCTTTGGAAAGGTGAATGTAGCATAAAACAACTGGAATACAGTTAAAAACAGAACTACTCTCTCCTTGTGTCCCTCATTGTAGTACCAGTTTTTCCACTGATACAGACTATTCCTATACGGACATTTTAAGGTCTCTCTAGGGACCTAGCTTATCGTTTACTCCTTTAATTCAAGTTTATTGATTACTCTAGCCTAGATGTTTTCAGGCTGTACTGGATATAGCATTTGAAGTCAGTTGCTGCAAGAGTGAAAGTGGATAGGAGCCACTACCCAGGGGAAAAGGGGGTTTGTTATTTTTTCCATTGCTGCTGGAGATGGGAGAGTTACCCTTAGGAACAGGCATTAATGAGAGCAGCTGTGAAGACAGAAAACAAACCAAAACACAGTACAAGCATCTTGAGGAGCAGCTGTAGAGCTGCTTTTTTTGAACTGGGCCCTAGGAGGTTACTTTTGGGAAGCAAGGTGTAAAGACTAGTTATCCTAATTTTTGTGAGAGTAATTATTTTAAAAGAACTGTAGAACAAATCACATCTCTAAAGGAATATTTCTGTTTTGAATGGCTGTTAAAAATATGTCTTGTTTGGCTGTCAGACTTTTTGCACCCACAAAGCTTCTGTTGCTGTGTTATGATGTGTTAGTTATATAGTGATGGATCTCTGTTTTCTGTTCCTTATTTCTCTGGGAGAAACCAGTATAAAGAATTTAACAGCAAGAGACTGTATGAATGTGAGCTTAATGTGTTCTAATATATTGCATATTCACAGGGGTACAGAAATGCTTTACAAAGAAGAGGCATGAATGTCTACAGCAATCATCTTTGCTACGATTTTAGCATCTAGCCGGCAAACCAACATCCACAAAGGCATTTTTTGATGGGCATTCCTGTTTCAATTATTGTTTTTGATCAAAGCTGTATTAACGTAGAAAGATACCATAACAGATTATCCACATCCACCGTCAGAGGGTGGCAGTTACTTAAACTGTGCTGAGTGAGTTGAATCCTGTCCTTTTGAGTAGGAAGAGCTCTATCTGAGATGCATGTATAATTCTGTTTCAAAGGCCCTGCAAAAATAAATTATTTTTTCCACTGCCCCATTACTGTTTGGTAAAAAGGCTTTTTCACTTCTTTACTGGACACTGAGCCATGTTGTTACTTAGAAATACTTTGCTATTAGGGCTCAAACCACTGAAATACTCTTCTAGTATGCGGAACAGTGTGAGTGTTTTCGTACATTAAGAACGTGAGAAGCATTACACGTTCAGACCTGTAACATTAAGAATGTAGGAATTACTTCATACTGTTCTTTAAAACTGTTGCCACAGGATGGGGCTGTTGCACTGCCCAAATACCTTCTGTCACTTAAAAGAACTGCGACCTAGCACTGTTTTCAAGGCTAACTTAAAACTAGGTTCCTATTGCTTTTCTTTATTATTCACCAGTCCATGTAGTGTGGCCTCAGTTTGTCTGCTTTCAAGAAGTAGGAAATTTGGAATAAGGTGCTGTTGGCTTGCTGAGTGTAGATCGACTTTCAGTTTCTTTTAGAGGCAGCTTTGCACCATATGACAAGCCCAGGTAGTGAGGTAATAATCCACATAAAGGGGATTCGGTTCACATATCGCAAAATATGTTAAATATTAAATTTTGGATTTTTTTAAGCCTTTATTAAATCCATATTTGTGTTGTAGAAATGTGCCAAGAACTGTTCTAATGAAGCAGCACCTGGGGGTTAATAAATGATATCATGAATCCATTTTGATTGCCAAGAAAGATTTTAATAAAGGAAGCCATGCCCAGGGTTGACTGTTTCATCCATGAGCAATAACTGTTTTATTTCCATGTTCTTTTATTAGTTGGTTAAAACAAAGCTTTCTTATTAGCATCAAGTCATTTATGATTGTCCTGCATATTTCTATATCCATTTGCATAAATAGCTAGCCCTCAGTATGTCTATCAATGCAAATTTTCAAAGTGTGAGATTTTGAGTGCTTGGAGAACTTCCATCTTTCACTGCCACCCTCTCACGTTAATCTTGTCTCCCTCTCTTCCCCTTAAACATTTAGGGTGAAATGAAGTCTGAAGAGGGGCCAGAATGGAATATACTGCGTGATGACTTCATGATGGGAGCATCTATGAAAGATTGGGACAAAGAGAGTGACGGAGAGAGCAATATTGGTCTCAAACAAGAAAATGAAAGTGACTGATGAGTGAAAGTGAAAAGCATTCAAGATAAAACATTATCTTCTTTGTCTGGATAAGAAGTCAACATTCTGTGAATGTACAACACTTGGAGGATGTCTTTCTTCTTTTTTTTAAAGAAGGTAGAGACTTGCACAAGTTTGGGGTGCGTTTTCTCCTCCACTTCAAACTTTTATTTAATACAGCTTCATTCACTGTACTGAAATCCTGAAATATTTTCCAAAACATGTATAATTTTCAACATATTTCCCAAACATTTGTACAGTCAAAATAGTGGCACCTGCCCAATGAAAGATGGATTTTGCCAAGGTCATTAAAAGTTTATACATTAGTCATGGCAATTGATGTATTAGTGCGCCTGCATTTCCAAATCAGTGTTGCACTTTGAAAAGTTGTTAGCAATTCGCAATAGAAATGGCTTACAATAAACACAGAAATGCTGTCACCTTGTAAAGTTATCGGACTCCTACAGAGTCTTTATTACTTTGGCCAGGAAAGGTTTTGTAGATAATAAAGAAAAGTAACCATTAATGTGATAGTTCTGGTCTTGGAGCGTTGGTTTGATTGGAGACAACTATGGAAATACAATTGTAAAAAGAGAGACTTGACCCTACTGATTGGCTTTGTGTGTGTGTATAATATGTTTTTTTTTTTTTCCATTGCAAGTCTGAAGTTATATATCTTAAGAGACTGGTAAGAAAGGAAATGACAGTCATTGCTATTGTTTTTATTGGGGTGGTGATTCTAGTAATGCTGAATAAAATTGCATTCAGTGTTACTCTATGTGGAATGCTCATGTTCTGTTTTTTTTGAGTAAGAAGCTGGACCTATGAGATGTATCCTGTCGGTTTAGTCAACTATAATGTTAATTCTTCGGGTCATTAAAGGGTCTAACAAAAGCCCTTCCTCTCAGGTGTGCACTGTAAGAGTACAAAATTTTGGAAAACGTAGGTCAGTTTAACAGTAGTGGCTTTGTTTAAGCTACAGCAGTTTCTCTAAACTGGTTGTCTGGTTGTGAAGATGCAGGAGCTAACAAATGTAGTACCACATATTATATATAAGCACATTATATACAATATATAGAAGGAATAACATTGTGGTTAAAGAGTTCTAAATGCAAGGCTGGGGCTGAATTCTGTTTGCTTCTCTGTTTCAGGTTGGTTGTCTGATATTGTGTAGTTTAACTTTTCTGTCTCACTTCCCCATGTGCTATATAAAGATAATGCTTTAGGGCCTGTTAATTGATACTTACCACACACAATACTATTCTGTCTGATTCTACAGTTTCATCATGCACAAACGTCTCTGTACGTGGTTATATATAGGTTGCTATTAGGAGTGACTTGCTCTTAAATTTTCACCCTTCAGCACTGAAATGTGTAGTAGGACAGTGGATTTAGATGTTCAGACTAAGGCATTTATGGAAGGGGGCAGAATGAAATTTGTGTGTATTTCAGAATAAAAAACTACGAAATGGTAGAGAGAAACCCATCCTAACAACTGGCAATAGTTGTGTTATCACTAGCCTATTCATCTGGTATATATTGTAGCATAATTCTTTGAGGAGAACTCAAAGCTAACAGCAGAAATGTTTATATTTTCAAGCTGTTTTGAGTGTTAAACATATTAGATATCTGAGCAGACATTAGTTTGTGGCCTGATATTTATTATCACAAATGAAGGCATGCACCCAGAATATCAAGTGGCAAAACCACAAAAGTTTGACATGTGGTTATCCCAGCTTCTGAAGGTTAGACATCTGTATAGCTGTTCAACTAGTAGAACTGGCATCTCATTAGTGCAATACAAAAATATGCTACAATGAATTCTGAGTCTATAAAATAATAGTCTAATTTAGCATTGCTTTTACTCTGCAGAGTTTAGTTACTTTTGTGAAAAGTTGCATGAGAAGCCTTAAATCTACAGTTTTACAGAGTGAAAAATACTGATGATGGTAACTTTAGTTTCTTCTGTTCTTATAAAGACTAAATACTATTTATATCCTGACTGATACTACTAGTCTCTGTCTGAGATCAAACCCTTGGAAAAAAATCTATTTTGTTCTTAGGAACTAGAGCATCCTGAGATGACTCTGAAAATATTTTGAAATTTTTGTAGTTCTTCTGGGTTTATGAATTTTCTTTGTGCATTTTTGCAGTAATGTTTTCCTTACTACACTGAAATGCCACTTGTGCTTTTAAGAAAAACATGGAATATATTAATACTGATAAAAATATCTTGAGCTCCTATTGCATTTAAATTGTACAGTAGTACAATTCAGTATTTTGCCTATAGGTTGAGAGCATTTCTTGCCTTTTAAGAAGCATAATATGCAGATATAAACATGTATAACTTGATAGCTTTATACATTTGATACTGCACCTTACCTTGCCTTGCCCTTTAGTTGTGTCATATGCAGAGAAGCTGTTAGGATAACTTAAATTGGTAACTTCCTCCAATCATAAAAGATTTCTTTCAAGGAAAGAGAAATAAGCTCAGAATTCTTGGGACAGATGGGAGCAGTATATTTTCATTTTAGGCACTTGGCACCAATTTATTTTGCAAGTTTTGTTTTAATTGACCTGCTAGTCAAAAGATGAGCTAAACCTTCTTTGGCCCTGAAATCTTCCAGTCTCCTCTCTTCGTTGCAGAATCAGCTGACCTACCTACCTACCTACTGTTTCAGTAATGTTATTCTTTTACTATAGTTAAAAAAACAACCTTTTGCTGCTGCTACTCACTTCCCAGAGTTCTCAGTCCACCTTGCCTTCTCCCATGAATATCCTTGCTTAAGGAGAGCCGTGCTGCTGCCTTTCATTCCAGAGAGCATGAATCATCTTAACTTTGTATATTTCTGTACCTATCTATATAAAGCCAATAAGGAGGGGGTGGTTCCGGTTTTGTTAGGCCTCAAGCCAACTCTAGAGTATGTAGGGTTTAATATTCTATGGATTGCATGCAAGTAACAATTTTTTTTTATTATTTTTTTAAGAGAAGGTGTAGGGTCCGTTCTTCCCATGTCTCTCATCCTCTAGTCTAGTTTCTCTTCACGTTAATTGTGCTAACTTTTTCAGTAAGGAAAGCTTGAGTTGGCCTATGGGAAAAAAGAACCATTTTTCCTTCGTTGGCCTGCTGTTAGGGAAACGTTTTGGGAGCAGTAGTGGAATATCCGTCTTGGGTCTGACACTATTGCACCGTACAGTCTTCCCTGCTAGAGCAAGGAGGGAAGAGCTCCCGCTTGTCCTGAAGCTATGAGGCAGGTTCTCTCCAGGTTCAGACAGATGAGCAGAACAAAAGGTCTGGAAGCTGCTCTCTGGGGCCTCTGCTGCTTCCTAATGGCGACGGGGCTTTTTTTTTTCCTTCTTTGTTTCTCTCTTGCCCTCTCTTTCACATTTTTAGGAGAGAAAAAATTGTTTTGGAGGCCATAGAAATGTTTTGACTCTCTGATGCTTCCAGAAGAAGGTGGTCTGTAAAACTGCATCTGTTTAGAGCTGGCTCAGTAGCTGTCTTCAGGGAGGAAGGCAGAAGTCATCTGGCACACAACACTTCACACAACTTAAAATGACAAACTCCTCATTCTTATGAAATGAGTCCTGGCATAGTTATCCACACAGAGCAGTCATCAATGTTGCTCACTTCCAGCCTCTGCAAATTGCTCAACGATTTCTTCAAGACTTGCTGAGGTAAGGAGTAAGAGGGCCAGGGGAAGGCTTGAAATATTAAAGAGTCTTAGGATTTCATTAAATATATAGGATCCTAGTGCTAACTAAGATGTTCAACTTAAACACTCGAGACTGAAGTTCTTTGCAAAGGAAGGTGGAGGAGCGTCACTTTCATTTACTGTTACCTGAAGCAGTGGCTTTAAACTCTTTCAGGATGTGAATCTCACAAGACTTCACCTATGTAGGTTATCTAGCAGATACAGGCCTTTCTTTCATCACTTTTTGTAGATGTAGGGAAGGGTGATATTTCTTAGACAAAGTATTTGTTTTCAAATGCATCTTTTTAATTGCTTTTCTCTCTTCAGGAACATGTTTAAGTAAAACTGAAGCTGAAGTGAATAGCTCCAACACCAAAGATGATGCTTGTGTTTGTGTACTGCTTCATTCTTTGGAATGATTTCCCTATGTTTAAATCAGTGCGTTTAATGTGTTGGATATCAAATCTTAAAAAGAATTAGGACACTTTCTCGAAGCCTGTGGATAAGACCTCATGAACACAAGTGATTCCACAGGCTTTTTGGGAGGTGATTTTTAGGAATACTCATAAAAGCACTATTTCTTCAGTGTTTTCATCACTTCAATAGCCTGTTCTCTCATGCCAGTAAGTGGACTTCTCAAGCGTTATTCTGCAACACTTTCTCAATGTTTCTTAATTCTCTTTTCAAAATATGCACTGTTAATTGTAAACTGCTAACCAGGATCAGAGTTGTACTGAGGGATAGTGCCACCAGTACTTCTTACAGACATTTTGTTCTCAAAAATAGTTAAATCATTAATAGAAATAGTTCACTATAAAAAGATATACTGCTTACACTTTATTATCAGAAGCCTAACATACATTTCAGAAATGGTTAAATATATGACCTATTGGTATGTACTAATCTTTAATGTTCATCTGAAGGGCACGTATGAACCCAAGTAGAAGTTAGCAAAGGCTTGCCTGGCAACAATTTTAAAACCTATTGACCTGTTTGAGTATAGACATACTTACCAAGGTCTCCACTACCCATTTGTGAACTCTTTATAAACCGCATTATAGATGTGATCTTAGAGGTTATGACTCGGGGCCTTTGGCTATTGAATGACTTTGCTGCTTTTAACTTCATTTTTTTTATCCCAGTTAAGGAGGACATTCCCATTCTTGTTCAGAGTAGAAACACAAGTATAAGCATCGCTTTATCCAAGCGAAATGGCAGTGAAAGGCTTTCTTGGTTGTATGAATGTTTGCTTTTGATTATTATCCTGAATATTACTGCACTGACTTTCAGGTTGCATACAAGTTATTTAATGAGGATTTTATTTTGTTTCTGAAGTGATCCATAAGTTGCAAACTTTGTGGGCAATGATATATGAGAAGTGTGTGAAGTGGGGGATAGAAATACAGATACAAGCAGTTCTGGGCTTCATTCCCAGCTCTGCCACTGGGAAGGTTTCCTAGGAGTATGCTTTTTAAGCAGCTTTGCGTTTAGAGTGTCATAAGTCCAGGGTACAAAAAGCGGCGTGCACCTATTTTAAGATGGACGCCTAAGGTTGGGCACGTGAATTAAAACCTGCTACTAGAGGGCCGAGTACTTGAGCTTACTGCTTTATATAATTGGGACTTTTACATCTCTGCCCATGACATAGTCACCACCTCACAGCAATTCCTTAGAGATAAAGGGTGACCAAAATCATGTTGCCAGCATTTTCTTGCTTGTGCAGATCTGTTTCTCGCTTATAATACATATGAGTGTTGCAGAAGAGCTTAAGGTTCAGAAATAAAGGATGTCACGTAGCTAAAGGTGTTAGTAACTTAGTGTATCTTTGTATACTGGTATTCTTTAGCAGAGTGAAATATTTGACAATGTTTGACCTGATGAAATCTTTTGTTAGTTATGTGCTTATGAGAGAAATACTTCTTTACTAAAAGAAAAATTCATAACATTCTCAAGGGGGTATCACTAGATAGTAACAGGAAAAGACGATAAAGATTTTTTTAGAACCTTTGGGTCAAGATTTCCAGTACCACTGCTGTTCTGTCCATCCGCTGTGTTAATTATTTTTTTTTCTGTTGTGTAACTG